TACGAGAAAAATAAAGTAGAGGCCTATTATTAGGGCAGGTTCAGTCTCTTTTAGATTGGATTTATACCTTCATCCCCGAACTTCCAGTCTTGGTTCCAGACCTATTGGAGTTAACGATACATCGTTAAGGGGTGTAACCTTCACCCTTTGAACGGTTTACAAGTTTCTAAAACTTGTTGGCGACTCTTTTGCTCTAGCTTCCTTCACTTTGGACACCACCATGCTTAAGTGTATGATCACAGTGGGGTTCAAGTTTGGGGTAATGCTTGAAATATTCCCTACAGGCCTCCACCCAAGGATTCCGATCACTTGACATTACTGAATAATTAGCTTTCTAGTAATTCTGAACCCTTTATCGGAATAATACACTTGTTTGAAGGACACCATTACTTTCATCATGAACAACAATAACATTCCTATTCACTTTCTCAGGCTGCCAACCAATCCATATTTTACCCCTAACATAATCAGAATAATTACAAAACCAATTCCAAGCACTACCAAATTTCTTCTGAAAAACACCACATTTATGAACTTTAACTTTAGTTTCAAGAATGTTAATCACATCAGCAGTTTGATCATGCCATAGTTTTGTTACGAAACCTACTTTATTAGGGTCATTAAGACCCCTTATATCCCATGGTAGAATAATCATGTTCCCAAAAGAGGATAACCTTCACCCCCCGACGATAAGAATAGAGAACTCAGCACCATAAACATCTTCAATCAAAGATGAGTAAGGTTTTAAGCTAAAAACACCTAACATAACATGAGCATTACTATGTATGGCTTCTCTGTTAACTTCCTACAACTCTCTAATCTCTGTCAGAATTAGCTTGATATACAGTTAGCGCAGGAGTAATAACAACAGCACCATGAGAAGTCCAATTCTTACAAGAATTGGGAACAAGAACAACATCTACAGGTGCAACAGGAGCACGAACATGTTAGGCCTTGAGAACCCAAACCTTTTTATGTCCTTTAGGAGCTTCAGTTTCTTTTGAGCCTTAGGATAGGTAGGAATGTTACAATAATGTCCTACTTTATCACACTTCTTACAAAAAGGGGGGTCCGTTCAAAAATAATTTTCTGTTCAATAAAACTACTGTAGGGAATAATTTCAAGCGTTAACCCCTAGCTTGAACCCCACTGTGATCATACACTTAAGTACGGTGGCGTCCAAAGGGAAAGAAGATAGAGCAAAAGAGTCGCCAACAAGTTTTAGGAACTTGTAAACCATTCACAGGGTGAAGGTTACACCCCTTAACGATCCAAAAGATCGTCAACTCCATAAGGTCTAGAACCAAATAAGGGTTCGGGGATGAAGGTACAAATCTAACCTAAAAGAGATTGAACCTGCCCTAATAATAGGCCTCTACTTTGTTCAGATCGTATTCATGTGCGCTTCTTGACTAACATGCAATCAATAGATTTAACCCTAAACATTTTTATCTATGTTGGTTGAATTTAATGCACAAATAATACTATTATTGGTGATCACTTGAATTATAATCAAATTAAACCTAAACAAGATTATTAGATATCTTATTAAGCGTGATTACAAATATCAAATTCCCTTTAAACATGCATAAAAGGCGTGATCAAGCAATAAAATAAATAATATCAAGCAACATAATAATAATAATAATCATGACAATAAAATTATAATCATCAAAATAATAATAATCATCATAAATAAAATAATCATCATCAAAATAATAATAATAATATTCATAATCGTCTTAAATTATAATCATTATAATCATAGTCATGTTCATGTTAATATTAAAGCATAATACCAAGATCCTAGGCATGATACTAACAAGATTAATAACAAATCCTAGCATGTCACTAAGCAATAAAAATCAAATATTTAACCCTAACATGATACTAACAATCATAAATATTAGGAAGAACATAAAAGGCATCGTAACAATCATATTTAATATTAAAATTACCCTAGACATGATGCTAGAAATATCATAATAATAACCTAAACATGATTTCTATATCAAAATATCAATTAAAGTACTTACTTTGATGCCTCGTACCTCTTTCTAATAATAAAATACACACGTTAGTAACTTCAAGGAAAATAATAAACAAAACAATTAAATTAAATAATTGAAATAGAGATTTGGGACCAAACCCTCAGAAATTAAACCTTTCACGTCTAGGACGAAGGCAACTTTGAATATGGCTAGGTGTTTCTAGATCTTGTGAATGCGGAATTTTGTATGTAAAAAGCAAGTTTAGAGACAGAAAGAGAGAGAGATGGTGAATGATTAAAGAGAATGAGAGAATTGCGAATGAAAACTGGTTGTAGGTGATTATAATTGAAAACTAGTTGTAGGTGATTATAATTGAAAACTGGTTGAAGGTGAATCAAAACGGAGTTTTTAATATGTAATTTATAGAGAAAATCAGCCAAAAAGATAAAATTAACAAAACAGAGCATTGACGCAATTGAAACAGAGCTGGCGCCAACGCCAGCTGATTGGCGCCAGGCGCTAACACTAGCGCTAGGCGCCAATGCCAGCGCCAGGCGCTAGTCCTGTTTTTGACGCGTTTTCGAAAATTAGATAAATTTTGCCGTACAGGAGGATAAAATCGTATCTTTTCCTCAAAAATGTTCTTTGATTTTAATTAAAACTCTGAAAAGTCGACAAAAGTCAATTTATCAATGCTAATCGAATTAAGAATGAAAAGAACTTTCTAGAAGATTCTAGAAGACTAAAACCATTCCTAATTGCATTAGGAATGATAAATCATATTAGGCCCTCCTCTATATCATTGGGCCGCATATAAGGCTCAAACCGGGCCCAGTTTAGTAAATTGGTCATAACTTCCTCAATATTCATCGGAATTGGGCTTATAAGATATCGTTGGAAAGCTCTTGTCAAGACCTATCCAAATACACTACTATTGGACACATATCACGGACCAACCAAACTGGATTGGCTATTTTCTTAAAATAAGTTTTCAAAAACAGAGAGAAGAGAAAAGAAATTAAAAATATCCGCAACACTAGACTTTCCACACTTTCGCTTCATTCGATTATGATTCGACGCGAAAGGTACTCATCACTGGGTTTGGTTTTGGGGAGACACATTTGGGTGTCTATAACTACCATCTGGACTCTCAACCCAGATACTCTTTGGCAAAGTTTAGTTATATCTACTTATATCAGTAATCTAGCAAAGGAAACCCTTAATTGCTTAGAAGTGCAATCATCAACACATAGAGGTATACCAATCACACTACCAATTCTACTCAGAGTATCCACCCCCATAGTAATTGAGAGGCAGGTTAGGCAGTTTCACCCATAGGGGAACAACTGAGCACCTCAGCATGAAAATTAAATTTCTCAGACCAAGGTTTGATAATAGTTGCCTTCCCAAAGAACATATGAGGTCCAGCACTTAGAATGGTATTCATGTCATCGGAATTTTACAATTTGATAAGGAAATAACCTTCATCATGCAAGAATATTTCAGGTTTAGCTATAATACTCAAATTTCCGGAAATATACCTATGCACAGCAGCAATCTTAGGGTAATAACCAATAATATAGAAAACAAGTGATTTTTTCAATTTAAGGTTACCTTCCTAAAGTTCAGCACTTTGCAATTGTGCTACTGTATGTCTTGCCATCCTTGAGAATAGGGGCAACAAATGTCAGCACAGATCCTTTTGTAGTGAGTTTGTCGGGCTTAGTCCATGCATTGGACTTCTGAGTTGCAGCCCTGTTCAGGTTGGTTAGGAACTTCTTCAGAATTAATCGATTCCTCTATTGCAATAGTATTGGGCCTGGAATCCAATGGAACAGTACCCTGAGGTACCCTAGGTACTAATTGATTAGAATTTCTTGAGATAAATCCAAAATTGAGAGCATTACCACTCATAGCCATTGCAACATAGGTTCTTATATCACCCATGACATAATTTCTAGCAGAATCAATGGATCGGTAACTCTAGTTGTTATTTTAATGATATTCTTTAAGTGATCAGGCCATATCGCTTGATGATGTTGCTCAAGAGCTATCAGATCTACTCTGGTAATCATCCCATCTAAAGGATGAACCAAGTGAGGTGGAGGAGTGACCATTTCTTAAAGATCATCAAAATCTTTCGGAAATTGCAGATGCAGATCCAGAAAAACCACAAGCATTCAACTGGATCGATCCATTATTCAAAGTTGTCAAGGAAGCTATATCATCAATCCATTGTTTAGTTGGATCAAACCATAGTTTGTGGTTGAGTATTCTGAGGTATGGGGGTGGATTATTTCTTCTTTCGGGCCATTGAAACCAATTAAGCTGAAGAAAAACCAGCCAAATCAAATCGCCATGGAAAGAGAGAGAAAAGAGAAAAGTCAAACCAAGTCAACATTCCAATCCAATGTGCAATAAATGTGTTTCTATTTAGACCTGTTTATGAAACTGTTAAATAAAAATAGCATCTTTACCAATTTCAAGTCTAGACCTAAAAAACCAGAGCGGACCTAAAACCCAAAATCATGGATTTTTAAGGATCGGGACCGCACCTATGTTCTCACACACATATAACATGCTTATATGGGCCAGCTCAACCTACGTGATTTCAGCCCAATAAGATGTTTCTTTGCACCTGTCAAAATAGTAAGATAAAGTCATACTTGTTCCCCTTAATCTAGTCCAAGTGATACGAAAAATAATAATCTTATCTCCATGATTAGTCTTTAGTAGGCAGCCATGCCAAAAACCCAAAAATAAATGGGTCTACATTGAAACGAGCCTTAACCTGTAAAACAAAACTAGTACAAGCCACTTAGATGTAATTAGTACGGATATAAGATTAGCATGTTTCAAAAGATGCAAATAGTTGAATTAGAGTTTACAACAAAATATACCAAATTGTTGATCCATGAGACCATGACACATACAACATTACTAGCTTAGGAAAACTGTAATCCCCCCCCCCCCACCCCCCACCCCCCACCCCCCAGGCCCCAACCCCCATTTTTCTTTTTCCTTTTCAATCCCTTTATTTATAGCTACATTTTGTCAAACAAAAAAAAAAGCAGCAGGAAGGTAAGTTTACCCAGCAAAAAAAAGAAAAAGAAAATGACACTGTTTGACCCTGCTATTACAAAGAGAAGACAAACACCGTCTATGTTTCCGGCTAGTCGAAGTAAATTCCACAATTAGACGTAAACTTCAATAGAAGTCGTCGAGGGTTAAATTGTCAACAGATCCGAAGTTGTCAAAGCCCTGGCCTCCCATCCTTGAGTAGTAGCTAGTAGTCGACCCACCAAGAAAATCGAAAGGGGAGTCATTTGCAATGCTGGTGGTGTCATAAACAAATGACATGCAAGCATTATTGTTATCCTCCATGTTTACTGCTGGGTCGTTATTCCAGCTCAATTGATTGTACCTGTTAATCTCGAAATTATTCACTTGAAAGTAATCAGTTACTGTATTAGTTGTATACTCGTTGTATATCTCCTGCGGTGAAGAATTCTTGGCCTGAATCACCTACATATATTTGAAATTTCTAAGAGTTAGGTTGCAGTAACTAACAATGAGATAATATATATATATATATATATATATATATATATATATATATATATATATATATATATATATATATATATATACATAAATGCGAAGAAATAAGAGGAGTTTAAACAAGTACTTACATAGTTAAGGTTAATAATGTCTTGGTAGACCATGATGAAGTCCCCAACCTGCAAGCGATGAGCAGTCACAAAGTCCCCTAGTACAAAACAGTACAGAATCAGTAAACACCCGATGGATTGAGAAAGAATCAGGAAATAAACGATTTTCTTACCAGTGTTTTCTAGTACATACATCCGGCTGTTGTTGTTAGGCCAGAACCTGAATATGAAAGCTCCCAAGGAAAAAATAAATATACAAGTATATACAAATCGTGATGATGAAGAGAAAAAAATAAATAAATAAATAAAAAACAGCAGAATGGTCATATTTAGCTGCTGTTTAGATAGCAGTGCTATTTGAGTAAATGTGACAACTACTCTGAATCGAGGTAGTATAAGGTCGTTCAGATCTTCAGATCAGTCTCAATACACAGCCAGCAGGTCTGATGATTTACAAAATACTTTATATAGTATTCCGGGTAATTTAATTATGAGGTACCGTGGAACTCTTACAATTTAATTATGTTGCATAAAGTTCTATATCGATTATTTATTAAAGAAAATCTTCTTCTGTAAAGTTTTTAGATGCAACATCTTGGAAATTTTATTTATAAGCTAGTGAGTTTTTGGTAAGTAAAAACTTGCCCCTGGGGGCCAGTTACCATAATGGAAATGTTATGAAGATGGAACGTACCTGTATTTGAAGTTCCACACATGCATCCCATCCATATCATCCATGCTGATAAAAATTCCCTCCTTAGTTTCTAGATGCGGGAGGTGAGACTCAGCTGCTTTCTGATTTAATTAAAACAAATCAGTGAGATCAATCATTTTCATATTTCATGATCACTACATAGTGTCAATGTATATATATAGTATCAGTATTCAGTATCATGATCACTACCTATAATCTATCGTGAATAAAATATAACTCAACACATTAAATTGTTGTATGCTAACTCAATAAAATAAGGACCAAAGAATGAGCATGTTTCGAGTTAAGCACTAACAAAATTCCAAGTGCATAATATAAATCTGATGGCACAAACCTTTGGTAACACCATCCTCCGCAGAGTGCTTACATCACTATTCTGAAGCTGCTTCTGGAATAAAAACCTCAACCTCCTTGGATCAACAACCTGAAACTTTTGAAGGGGGTGAACATTTGCACATAGCAAGCATCTAATAGCACATGAATCACTTATTCAAAGAGTACGAAGTATCATCAAGTTGAGATTGAGGATTAAGGTTGAAGAGGGTTCAACTCCCACTACATTATCTACCTCTAATGAGTTCATTAAGGAGTATTGCCATGTTTAAGACTTTTATTATCAATTACTCCCTAATTAATTGTGCACCTTAATTATCCATCTAACAACCACCTTTATTATCTTGATGTGATACATGATTCATAGACTTAATTACCACCACAACCATTTTTGGTTTTGAATGCACTCCCATTCAAGAATATCACTTTCTTTTTTTACAAAATTTCAATCCCTTTTGAGATATATAGAGGGATCATTGATCATTTGAAAGCTATTTTCCACTACTACAAAAACGCATGAAGAAACCCGTCAATAACTCTAACAATTTGTTAGGGTAATTACGTAACTGCTATAAGGGATTTTTTATAATAAAGTAAAGGCTAGTTAGTTTAAACGCAAATTGTAAGACACGAGGAAGAAGCCTGTTTGTCGTTAATGTATTTGTTTTTTTTTTTTTCGTTTCTATCCCTGCATATTTTCTATTCATAATTAATGTTTATGTTAGCTTATCGGTACAATCTTGCCCTAGTTTTGAGAACTCCAGATGGCACACACTAGAATCGATAACTATCTAATTGATTTGCTTATAGACTAGTTATGATTAGGATATATAACACCAACCACAAGCACGTGTTATTACAATTACATAATTTGATTGCTTATGTTTGGTATCATACCTTGCCTTACTAATAGGAATCATGCATACTAACAGGAATCATGTTTATCATTATTGTATTTGTGTATTTTGTCGTTCTCTGTCACTGTAATTTTTTCCATAATGTGCTTGTTAGCCTGTCGGTACAATCTTGCCCTAGTTCTCCAAATGGCACACTCTAGAATTGACTATTTGATTGGTTTGCTTATTGATTCGTTATTATGATTAGCACATATAGCGACAAGCACACGTGTTGTTAGTTTATTACTATTACGTAATTTGATTGCTTATGTTTGGTATCATACCTTGTCATATTATTATGGGTCGTTATTGTATTTTTATTTTTTGTCGTTCTTTTTCCCTAGATTTTTTCTATTTAATTTGTATTCAATGTGCCTGTTAGCTTGTCAGTACAATCTTGCCCTAGTTCTAGGAGCTCCATATGATACTTTTTAGAATTGACTAATTGATTAATATGATTAGGGCATATAACGCCAACCACACATGTTACGTAATTTGATTGCTTATGCTCGCAACGTTTCTCCTTTCCCAACCACAGGTGCGTGTTTAGTGTATATGTCTTTTATTGTGACGAGACACTAAAAACCTAGTTATGGAACTCAAACAAGTCATGTTCTCAAATCAACCATCAAGCAAATCATCTAATGAGAGTACATTTAACGATATAAGATTCACTTGTGGTCCCAATCCTCTAATTCAAGTATAGTTTGGTATTATCCATATTTGGTTACCTTTAATTAGATATCCGACGACAAAATTGTGACGTACCAAAGCCAAAATGAGGCAAGACGAGGAAGTACGTACACAACAAAAATAGTTTATTTTAACCTTATTCAAATCCATTAAAACTCTATATAAGATTATTTCATGTAATCGACAATTTTTAATGGTAAATTTTAACGTATCCTAACTTCATACTAGTAAGCTAGATGTACGGAAACACGTACACATCAACTACTATACACATAACAACAGTACCAAATTAAAAACGTACACCTTACTTTACTATCAAGTCATACAAATTCACTTATATTTAAAAAGATTCTGTTTGAATTAATTAAATAATTAATTAATAAAAAAAAATAGTAGATGAAATGTTAAGTAAAATGAAGTAAGCGAATAAGGGCAGAAGAGAGTTGGAGAAGAGTTGAATGCTGAAGTATGAGCAATGCCAATTAAGCACTACCAAACAGGTTTCACCGTTTGGGGCCACCTATACTTGGACTCGTGCTACTTTTACATGGGGGATAGATGGACGAACCATTTTCTTTTTTTCTTTCTTTTTTATATTTAGCCACCTAGCTTTCATTTTACGTCATTTTGGGCAAAACCCTTGAATAATTGTAAGTATATACTACATACCTTTTTCTTTTTTTAATAAATTTAACAAACACTTTTGCTCCCACATAACTTAATATGACTATATGAGGTTAAGAGATTGTTAGAAATGTAATCAAGTGAATAATGGGTTTTAATAAGGGTAATAGTGTAACTTTCACCAAAAAAAATCAAATTCTTTATTGATTAAAGGATTCTCTTTCATTTTCATGAATTTCTTTGAACTATTGCTTTAATTTTATTTTTTATTTTTTAAAATCAAAATTAATGTACTCTATTGGTGCTACTTTAACTATCTTTGAGTAGTCTTTTGGGATCTCTCTAAATTTTTCTTAATTTATACATTAATGCAGTCAAACTTTGATAAGTTTACTTATTGGTAAAAAGAAGATAATCCCTCTGTCCCTTAATGATAGTCTCTTATGGGCAATTTTCACAAGAATTAATAAATATAAAAAAGATGAAAAAGTATATTGGAAATATAAATTTACATTGGAAATGCAAATAAGTAGAGAGAGAAAGTATTGGAAAAGTAAAATTCACATGAAAAAGTAAAATTTGCACAAATGTTATTGCAAATTATAGAGAATTTTGGTAAAAAAAAAAAAATAATAATAATAATATTAATGATACTTGAAAAAAAGAAAACAAATGTAACTACTCCATTTTTAGACGTATAATTGGCCATATAGAGCCATCAATAAGGAACGAAGGGAGTATAATATGTTGAAATAATTTATACATTGTCAAGTGTGAAATGAAAATTGCTCTAGCTAAAAAATACAGACGAGTATTATTTATTCATTTTGACCCAAATTGTTTCACTTTTCTTATACTACCTCCGTTTTTTTTAGTTGCAAATTTGGGGTATTATTTGAGAGATATAAAATATTCCAAAGTTGCAACTAAAAAAATCGGAGGTAGTATGTATTCTTTATATATCTTATCAAAATCGGGTAACTACTTAAAAATTTTATTTACTCTCTTTACTTTGAAATAATTTATCACACGCTCTAACACATAATTTAATTATTTGTTGTAATTAAATGAAATGAGTTGTTTCAAGACAAAGTTAGTAGCTTCATTTCATATTATTAGAAAATTGAACATGTAATATACAAAAGTAAGTGATGGGCCAAGTGAGGTGAGAAAAAACAATAGTGATAAGTCATATTCATATCAAAATGAGAAAGTGCGTCAATTATTCTTAAACAACTAAAAGAGGGAAGTATGTTGGTTATTCTTCTTAAATCCGTAGAACATTGTTAAAAATCAATTTTATTAAGGGGGTGTTTTGTATTAACACTGCAAATGGTATGGTATGGAATGGAAACAATTAGAGTAATGATTAACGTTCCTTTTATTAATTACTATATATGTTTGATATCTTAATAGAATGAGAAACAATTAAGTAAATTGTGATATCTTATTAATTTTAACTAGAAATGAAAACATTTGAATTTGTTTCATACATCCAAAATTACATTTTTATAAAAACCTATTTTCTAGTCGTGCAAGTGTGCAAGCCACGAGTTTCGTTAATTTAAAGTTATGATCTTGTTTGTTTATGTAACAGAAACATGAAGGATGAAAAAAAAAATTGCAAGGGGAAATTTATGGTTTTTGAGTTTGATAAATGTATTTTGAATTGAAATTCGAACCAAAGGAAAAAGTAATTGTTTGATTAAAAAAAAAATGAAAAAAAAAAATAGAAAGAACGATTCTTGAGAAGAAGAGGAGGAGATTGGAAGAGAGGAAATTGAATGGTTTATTTTTATTTTTGAAAAGAATAATCTGACTATTAAAAAAATATATTAAGACACGGATTTGAAGGAAAATAACACAAACTCAGATTAGATTGACTGATCTGAAAAAAATCTTTTGGTAGAATGTAACAATTTAATATCATGAGATCTTTGTCAAAATAAGATGATTTTCTACTTTACCTTGAAAAAATAAATAAAAAACAGATGCTTTTTTTAAAAAAAAATAAAATAAAAAAAAAAAAACTAAATCAAGTCAGCAAAATTTTTCTCTACCAATTAAATCAAGGAGAAAAAGTTATATACTTGCAGATGATATAAATTGGTGGATCAACAAATAAATCAGATCTCATTGACTGATTTGGCAAAATTAATTGCTGATTATTATTTTATTTTATTAAAAAAAAAAATTATTTTATTAACTTTAAGACAACTAATTATAATTTGGTATTTATTGTATTTTAATTATTTAAATTTTATGTTCCCCAACATACAATTTTAAAGTATGAAATTGATGAGCCAAATCTAAAAGTACTAAAAACGGAAAGGAAAATAAGATAAATTTAATTTCAACCATTTTCAAAAAATGAAAATAAAAAAAAAAAAAAAAAATTCAACGGCTAGTGTACGGTGGTGCAGGGATCCGTAGCCAATCCCAAAAGAAGGCCAGGTAACGAAAAATACACACCTTAACTCGGTCCAAATCATCTGGGTCAACTCACTCACATGTATATATAAATAAATAAATAAAATTTTAAAAAAATATAGGAAGAAAGAAGAGTAATCTTACACGTGCGGGAAGTGAGAGAGAAGTTGGCACGTGAGGAGTGGTAGAGGTTGAAGAAGAAGAAGCAAAAGGCAAGAGACTAACTGAGGATCTTCTTTGCCTTGCCATTCTTTTCTTCCTCTGAATTTTATTCTCCCCAAAACATCCCCCTAAAACCGGCATCTTCGTCGACAGATTCGCCTCGTTGGAGTTGTTGAAAACCACGATCCCAGTACGTCCTCCAACTCCATTAGTCGCGCTATCAGTTCCAGTTCCAGTCCCGAACCCGAGCGCCTCGTTATTCTGGCAACTCCGACCACTCTCTCTCTCCCCCATCATCATCATCATTTTCGATCAACAAATTGTTTTTATTTTTATTTTATTTTAGGGTTTATTGTTTTGAGAGATTCTAGAGAGAATAAGAGAGAGAAAGAAGGTGCACTCTGAATGCCTATCTCACACTGACTCCACTGAAAAATGTGGAGAGCTCATCTCCTTTTTATTTATTCATTTTATTGTTACAAATATGATTTACTGCTATAAATAGCAATGTTCCAAAACTCAAAAATAATCCCAACATTAATAATTAAAACAAAAAACCCAAAAACAAAAATGAAAAGAAAAAAAAAGGGGAGTTTCTGAGTATAGGTTAAGGGTGACATTTGTAAAAAGGCAGTTGATCATAAGAGGGTAGTGATATTTCCAAGTAAAAATAGTTTCTACTTTTGTTAAATGACTGAGCTGAGTATTGTGGAGTAAGCAACTAAAGTAAGGTTAAAAATTTAACCATGGTTTAAAAAGGGAAAGGGGCGGTGGGTGGGAGAGTGTAGAGATGACCAAAGAAAAAGAGACGAATGGTGAAACAAGGGAGAAGCTAACAGGTGTTGCAATTCTTCTGTTTTAACTCAAACCCCCCCCCCCCCCAACTGAATTCAATGGCGCTTATTATTTTTTATTTATTCTTATTATTAATTTCCCTTTTTATTTTTATTTTTGTTATTGATTTTGATTTAATTAAATGTAATAAATAAAAATAATGAAGAATCCAGAATTAGCGGGTGAAGGAGGGGGGAGGTATTACTTGATGAAAAGAGGGAGAGAGAGAAAGCGGGAGGAGGTAGAAGAGAAGGGTTTTGAAATTTTTTGGATAGAATGAGAAGAAGCTAAGAAAGGTGACAAGGAAAATTTGTAACTGAATTCTACGTTTTGTCGCGCGTAACTAAGGTCACCCACGTCATTTGCTAACGGTGCTATTTTATACTTCGTCTAACATGAGACTATTCACTCCATAGTATCCAAACGTGTCAATTTGAGTGTCTGGGTTAGGTTTGATTAGATTAAACTTGGTCTTTAAAACTTAAAATTACGCTAAATTGTTGTCTTTATACAAGTTAAAATCTGAATTGTTTTTTTCGAATTAGTCGGTCAAATCAGTATTTGACACAATTGTATCATTATTTGTGTATGTACGTATGTAATGTGCTATTCTTGTTGTGGACTTAACTAGGACTTCATTGCTATTGTGAGATTTCTTGTATGAGTTACGACTACTCATCATTATTATTATTACTTGTTGAGTTTGTATTACAATATTTTGGATTTTGTGTAACAAACTTGGATTTAACGGATTTTACATTAATTATAAAAATTAGTGAGAAGAAAATTGAAGCAAGTTACTTCAATTCCAATGTGAACATAATTATATTGAGATTAAAGGGGATTTTTTTGGATTGTAAGAATAAAGACCCTATTGAATTGTATCCTTAAAGTTTAGTTATAGTTCAGTTGTTTCGGGTTAAATGTTTGAAAATATTAGGAGAGAAGCAAAGTAATCTTCAATATTCATCCCAAGCACGAATAATCGGTGAAGGAATCCACGCTCTAGCTAGCATTACTTGCTAAGTTCAATGAGTTTTGTTTTAAATTTATTTGGATTACATGTAACAACTTACATTTTATGACTTACAAATACTTCCTCCGTCCCCATTTGATTGTCACTTTTGTCATTTTGGGTGTCCCTAAATGTTTATCACATTTCACATTTTTAGATTAAATAATACACATTAAATTATATTTTTAACCTCATAATTTATTGTCCTTATTATGCGGGCTTCCTATTTTACCATCTTAATTTCTCTTTAATTAATGGCCCCCCTTTGGAATTTGTAACTATAAATTTCTCTCTTTATCAAAAAATTTTAGCTTAGGGTCTGTTCTCTTAAGTTGAAATTCAGTTTAGTTCACTTTAGCTCAGTTTAGTTCAGTTCAGTTCAGTTCAGCTCCTAATTTCCTTCTCTTATAAAATATTCATTTCAGTTCCGTTCAGTTCAGCTAAATTCAGTTCAGTTCAGTTTAGTTCAATTCAGCTGAGTTCAGTCAATGAGAACAGCCCCTTAGTCATCAATATGTGTAGTGTAATTCCATTGGATATATATATATATATAAGGATCTTGCTAACGAACGCCCCTGGGCGTTGGATAAGCATTTAAAATATTACCTAAAGTGGTATTAATTTCGGTGTAATTAATGTTAATTTTAATTTAATTCTTCTATTTTTAGCTAGCTTATCCAACGCCCCGGGGCATTCGTTAGCTTTTGTGTGTGTGTGTGTGTGTATATATATATATATATATATATATATATATATATATATATATATATATATATATATATATATATATATATATATATATATATAAAAGGAAAAATTGGCCACAACAACATCAACTATGATAAAGATGCGTGTAGCAACATAACCTTTTAAAGGTGCGATTCACTGCACAAACTATGTAGTTGAGTGCACATATTAGGACACTAATGAACTTAGGTTCCATGGAAAAAAGTGAAATCTTCATTATTTTATAATTGTTTAAAAAAATTTAACTTTACATGATTTTCCATCATGCATGCCTTCTATTTATTTTCCATTTTAGCATCTCTTATTCTCCACCAATTAAGCGAATTACTTTAAAAAAGTTGTGCTATTAATTATTTTCCTTCGTTCGCTTCCTCAATTACATTTTTCTAATGTCGATCTCACATGATTGACTTAGTTTCCTTTCCTTCTCCACTTAGTTATATACTAAATTGATAAATAATTAAATAATATCATTCTTAAACCTTTATTCTACCAGATTATAGGATACATATGTATCTTTCTAATACCAAGCCACACAAAATAATTCAAAATACTTAATTAAAACAACAATTTTAGAATTGGACTAGGATATGTCAAATTGATTTTCTAGTTTTTGATGTACAAAACTTTAATTGTAGAGGTTGAGAGAGAATAATTTAAAGGAAAAAAATTAGTTATAATGGAAGAGGAAACTAAGACAATCACATGAGATGTAAAAAAAAATGTAATTGAAGAAACAAACGATAGAAAATAATGGCGAAAACTTTTTAAATAATTCACTTTAATGGAGGAAATTGAATAGTGTTTTAAGTAAAACATACAATTGATGAAAGAGAAGACTACTTAGTTATGTGAGATGGAAAATTAAGTAGAATGAAATTAAACAAAAATATATATAAATATAAAAGCATTAAAAATCATTAAGATTCCACTTTCTAAAGAAGTCTAAGTTATGCTAATGTCATTTATGTTATTATGTGTACCTAAGTGTATAGTTTATGATGTTGAGTGCACCCTTAAAAGGCTGTGCTGCTACACGCACCTTCGTCATAGTTGGTGTTGTTGCAGCCAATTTTTCCTATTGTAAATGATTGAGTTTTAGTTTCCGTGTACTTCCTTAATTCTCGTGATTTTCTATAAAAAGTGACAATCAAATTATTAGGGCCTATATTTATTGTGTATATTGTATAGCTAACGGGCCTATCTCATGAGCCCTAATCTTTTGTTAGGATTGTATAAACACGCTTCCCATACTCTAATAAAAAACTACGGAAAATTATTTCGTGACATGGTATCGGAGCTAATCAAATTCTACATCCCTAAATTTCTAAATTTACATTCTAAATCCCTAAACTCAATTTTTGAAATTTTTTTTAATTTCTAGTTCGAATTTCTACTTTGAATTTCTAGTCCTAATTTCTGGTTCGAATTCATTCTGTGGTTGCCTCGTGTTGGTGTTCTTTGGACCCTACTTTCTGATCTATTGCTTCAAAATTTTGGTTCGAATTTCTGGACTCTAATTGATCGATAATGGTGAATGAAACTAATATTATGTCTTCTTCTTTTACTCCCAATCGCAAGTCGAATCTCTATTGCACTCATTGTAATCGTACGGGTTATGATTACGATGGTTGTTTTTTTGTTCATGGCCTACCCGAATGGTGGCTGAACAAATATGGTAACTAAGGACGCTCGGCTGCCGCTTCTAATCTCCACCTGTCGCTTCTTCTTCGCCTCCTGGTTCTCTATCGCAAGGTCTGCCTTGTGGCTCTGCTCTGCCCACTGCTCCTCTACTTACTGCTACTGCTCTGCTTGTTTATACCTTTACTGCCTCTGTGACAACCCCTACTATAGATGCTAGCCACAGGAAGCCCGTGGCAACCTCTGCCAACTACAAGCAGCCCGTGTCCCCTACTGCCACAGCTGCTAGGGACAGCCAGGGGCAGCCTATGGTACCTGCTATCAGCCACTACCCTGCGGCTGCTGCACCTCTACCTTACCGCTGCATCCTACCGCCACTACTCCAATTTTGGGTGGTGTGTTCGATTCACCTACAGATTATATTGATGATGATTATTTATCATTGTTGTGGATTATTGACACCAGTGCATCCCATCATGTTACCGGCAATGAGAAATTTCTACAAGATGCTCACTTAATCATTTCTTGTCCTGTTGTTCTTCCCGATGGTGCTAAGGCCATGGATACTTAGGAGGGTCATGTTGTTTTGGCAGATGGAATTACTCTTCAACATGTTCTATTTGTTCCGCAATTGAATTGCAATTTGATTTTGATGTCTAAGTTGATTGATGACTCTAATTATTTTGTCCGATTTACTAATTCTCTTTGTGCTATACAGGATCAATCCTCGGGGAGCTTAATTAGAGGCGATGAACGAATAGATGGACTATATTATTTCTGCCGTATCCCAAAAGTATGTGCAAACACGGGAACTACATTTGAGTATGGCATCGTTGTTTAGGGCATCCGTCGGAGAAAATTGTCAAATTGCTTTTTGATATTCGAGGTAGTACTAATACTAAGTGTTTACATAAAGCATGTGGAATTTGTTCTCTAGATAAACAAACCCGAGACAGTTTTCTTGATAGTGATAGTCGTGTTCTTGAAATGATACACTATGATTTGTGGGGACTATATAACACGACTTCTACTTGTGGTGCTCATTATTTCTTAACTATAGTGGATGATT